TCCTCATGTAATTGTTCCAAAATGCAAGACACCTTGTCTCAATGGTATCCAAGGAGAGCCAAGTATTTTGAGAGCTATTAAAAGACATTGTTCTAATGATGAAGGATATAATGTGATTTAGTGCAGCTGAAGCCAAGTTATCCACTAGCTACAGAGAGACCTAGGGAAAGGGAAAGACACGGAACCGATGTGACAGCTCCTATAACTGGTGCAGGAAGGTCATGTGTGTAGTGAATGCACCACTTCACATTCATCCTTAACATGAATCCCCACCCCCACCAAATAAAAGCAAATATAAATTGGAGAATACACATTTTACCTTCAACCTAAACAACTTGTTTTCAGAATTGTTTGTTCAACATTACTAGAAATCATTCAAAGTGCTGATTGTAGTTCCCGATACAAAATAAATCACCAATAAACATCATCTGTTACTAGTTGGATTTGGAGAAAAAGGAGTACTGCATCAAGTCAAGAACATATTAGGAATAAGATGCCTACCTTGAAGCCTTCCTCTTTACTAAATTTCTATACGACTGCGTTGTTGTGTAAAGAGATCTATGAAGTAGGGACAATGATCACACTTAGCTGGGTTTTGTTTTAATTAATTAATTAACTAATTAATTAATTAATGAGTGGTTACATGTAAAATCCTTAGCATGTTTTCTGGCATGGGTACACATCTGATTGACAAGGTCCATACTGGACATTGGGCAGACGAAGCCGCTGTACCTCTGTGGTTCAGCCAGGCAAACATTATTCATTGAGGCCTCCCTGTGAGTCAGGCACTGAAGGAGGCACTGGGGAAGGAACAGATGAATAAGGGAGAGATGTGTTCCATACCTACTTGTAGCCTTCTGGGGAGTTTTTGCAAAAAACACTCAAATGAAATAACTGAAGACAACCGTATATGCTAAGAAGAAACTAATAGGGGACTGACACAGAACATGTGAAAGGAATTTGTTGGGTAGGGAGTCTGGGAAAGTCTCTTCAAGGAAGTACATTTAAAGTGAAGATGTCAAAGAAGAGGAGTCAGCCATGTGAAGTAGCTGTGGTCATGGGAATTCCAGGCAGCATATGCAAAACTGAATGAGTTGAAAAAAACTTGGTGCAAGGGAGGAAGGGATGCCCAGAATGGCTGGAGCATATGGGTGAGGGGGGAGAGAGTTGCCAAATGCGGCTGAGAGACGGGCAGCCCTCACCTCTTGCAGCTCTCTTTGGCCATGCAAGGATCCTACCGGGATTTTATTCTGTTTGCAAAGGTTAAGTCAGTGAAGAGTTTCAAATAGTGGCAAGGAATAATTTTTTTTACTCATTTCGAAGACCACTTGCTGCTTTGCAGAGCAAGTCATCTGCACTTTTTTGATCAAGGAACACCAATTAATACGTGCCCCGAATTGTTCATATTCTTTTTCTATCTGTGTTTAGTTGGATAAACATACATTTATATGTTAATTGTTAATTCACCTATATGTTCCTAGGTAATTAAATATTAACAGAGCTGTTTTCTTCCTGCCCACAATGTGATACTATCTGGGTACTTGCACCCCAATTCAGAGATGACTATTGCAGAGATAAGATGGGGCAGAGCAGCTGTGGAATGGGGAAAGCAATTAGAAGGCTGTTGTGTCAGTCCAGGTGAGAAATGATGACCACAGACCAGGTGGTGGCATATCTTTTTACATACAATGAAAAGACTCCTCATTGGAATTACAGATCTATGCTTTCTACTGGCATATGATAGCAACGATTTTCCTAATAACCCATTCTTAATGCAGTACATCAGTAAAATCTGTTGGGTTGCTTAGTGAGTTGTTGGATTAGAAATACCTTGAAATAGGCTAGCCCCTTTCCCCCATAATTAGCCCATTTCTTGAAGTCTTCCAGAAAAAGAAAATGGTTTAGGGAATTACTGGTACTTTTCTTTTCTGCTTGTTGATAAAGGATCAGAGACACAAGAAATAAAATGAATTTATATTAAAAAAATTATTGGAGCCAATTTCACCCATATCTGTGTAACCTTTTTTCTCAAATGAATAATTAGAATCAGGCATTTAAAAAGCTCCTGCCCTCTATGAACTCTCAGCAAATGGATTTCAAATGATTTCATTTTAAAGGGATTATTGAGGGTACCTGGGTGGCTCAGTGGGTTAAAGCCTCTGCTTTTGGCTGGGGTCATGATCCCAGGGTCCTGGGACTGAGCCCCACATCAGGCTCTCTGCTCAGTGGGGAGCCCGCATCCCCCTCTCTCTCTGCCTGCCTTTCTGCCTACTTGTGATCTCTGTCAAATAAATAAATAAAATCTTTTTTTTTTTTAAAAAGGGATTCTTGTATTGGGTCTGTTTTAAAAGATGGTAGTTGTAGATTTGGGAAGGAAAAATCAGCTCTCTTTCTACCAAATCTTCAGGTGGAACTTCATTTTGAAATCAAAACCATCTAAATTTTGATAGAGCAATAATAGACTGAGACCGGAAAAATTGAATTCACTAATTTCTTTTTCTTTTCTTTCCATTTTGCGTTTTCCAGTTCTATATTAAGATGGGAATTTATTCAGGTTCTGACTCTTTAATCTGGTTTTTCTTCCATTGGAGGAAATCTCACACACTCATACAGACTGAAAAGGAGGTTAGCAGGGCATAGAAAGAAGACTTTAACCAAACAACTTCCCAAAGCTCTGAAAACCTTTCTCAGGAGAGGAAAACAGCTGCCCTGAGTTTTAAGGAAGAGCACTTGTAGTTTCGGGAAGAGGGAGGACCTCTGGCTCTCCTCTCTATCTAGAAGCCTGCCAATGTTCCTTTTTTAGGAGGATCCAGGCTTGGGTAGTTGAGGTGCTTTCAGAAGAACAGTCTGTGTCTCCCTTAAAGACAAACAGGTCACTCTTTTTTTTTTTTTTTTTTAATTTCTTTTCAGCATAACAGTATTCATTGTTTTTGCACCTCACCCAGTGCTCCATGCAATCCGTGCCCTCCCTAATACCCACCACCTGGTTCCCCCAACCTCCCACCCCTGCCACCACTGACCCCCTGACCCCTTCAAAACCCTCAGATTGTTTTTCAGAGTCCATAGTCTCTCATGGTTGGATAAGGTCACTCTTTAAGTACTCACATTTAAAGGCTAAGAAGTCTGCCCCCTTTGTATTTGCATATTTCTGGGACTGCTCATAAGAACAAGAATTTAAATTATTGCTCGTGTAACACAGCTCTAGATTGGATTGATATAAGAGAAATTCCTCTTGAACAGTATCAAAAAAGGTATATTAACTGAAGAATAATTAGCACTGCTACTTTTAAGTTGGTCCTATCACAAACTCATAATTTAAATTTTTCAGTGAGGTTGCCTTTGCAAGTGTGAAAATGAACAAAAATGTAATTAAAAGCTGAAGATTGTATTATTTTGTGTGGTATTCATTTGTTTAATCAGTAAATATGCATTGAATAATTTAATAGCCACCATGTGATAAGGAAGTGGTATTAGGCACATGAAGACTACAAAAAAAATCTGAAGGTATTTCAACCCTTAGAAGCAAACCTTCCATTTGAAAAAGGCTTGGATTTTGAGAAATTCTTTGTAATTTTCAAAGCCTGTTCACCTACTATAAATCTTCATCTGAACTTTTGAACAGTAGCAGGGGAGCTGGGCTGGGCAGACATTATAATCACACAATTATAGAATTTTAGGAGTGGAAGGAATTTTAAAGGTCATCTAATGCAACCGCTTAATTTTAAAGTGTGGGAAGCAGAGAGATTGCCACTTTGTCAGGGCCCCATAGCAAACTAGTGGCAGAGCATTCCGCACCGACTTGAAGTTTGCTGATTAGAATCTTCAGGTATGTGCTGGTAGCTCTGGGCTAGGCACGAAGGACGCAGGATAAATAGAGCACCATGCCTTTTTTCCTGCATCTATTTGCATACACAGAACAGACTCACAATACGTATTTATTCAATTAAGGACTGGCGGATTTCTTACCGCCTGTGTCAAGCAGAGGATAAAAATGGCAAAACAAACTGGCCACTTCTTCCAAGTTATTCACAATTCCTGTCCTCAGTGAGTTTGTGGTCTCTTAGGGAAGCGAAGATACATGTCCACGAAATGCAGGAAAACTGAATTCAAATACAGTGAGCGCTTTAGGAGCTCCGGAAAGGAATCTAAGCGTTATAATTGGTGAAAAAAATCCCCGAAATCTCTCTCTCTCACTCCTTTTCTCTCTCTCTCTCTCTCTCTCTCTCTCTCTCTCTCTCACACACACACACACACACACACACATTTAATGACATCATTCTCTGCTGTTGCCTTCCTGGGATCTCCCCCAAGCTGGGGCACGCAGGCTCCGCTTAAGCTAAGGTCAAGACGCCAACTCGCGGAGACTCGGGAGGGAAAGACCAGGCGCCCACCCAACCTTATCGTCTAAACTGGAAGAGACGGGGAGGGGACGGGCTGCGGGGGGAGGAAACGGCGGCAGAGACTGACAGAAACAATAAAACAGGAATAGGAAGTCCCCAACACAGCGAGCGCTCGGCGAGCTCCTGCTGGCCGCCCCCACGGGAGGGGCGTGCGGGCGCCGCGCGGAGAGCCGAGACCGCGGCCGCGGGGGCGCAGAGCGGGCGGCGGCAGCGCCCGCGAGCCCAAGGGGAGGGTCGGCGACGCATCCAGTCCCCGCAGCCACCCGCGCGGCGCAGCTCGGCAGCGGGACGCGGCGCCCGGAGCCCCGGCAGCTCCCGCCCTCCCTCCCGCGTCGCCCGCCAGCGCGCCAGCGCCCGCTCCGCCCGTGACTTCAGTTCAGCTCCACCCCCGCGTGGCGGCGGCTCGCTCGGTCCGAAGCCGCGCTCGGCACCAGCCCAGCCTGGGCGAGCGGCCGCCACCTGCCCCGCGCCGCCTCCGCCCGCCCCCTCCGCGGCCCAACTTGGATGGAGTTGGGGTCCTGAGCGCCTGCCCCCCGCAGCCGGCCGGCGGAGAGCCCCGCGCCGCCGCCTCCGCTCCGGCCCCTTCTCCGCTCGCTGCTCTCCGCTCCCGCGATGGGAAAAGTTGGCGCCGCCGGCGGCTCCCCAGCCCGGCTGAGCGCGCTCCTCGCCGGCGCGGGGCTCTTGGTCCTCTGCGTCCCGGGCGCCTGCGGCGGCGGCTCCTGCTGCCCCCAGCTGCCTCCCGGCTCGGCCCCACGCTGGGCTCCGACCCCAGGGGGCTTCCTTCTCCAGGGGCCGCGAGACAGAGCTGCTGCCACGCCCCTGCCCCTCCTTGGGCGCCCCCTGTTCGCAGTGGCCCCCGGAGACCGAGCGCTGTCCCTGGAGCGGGCCCCTGGCACCGGGGCGTCCGTGGCGGTCGCCCCACGCTCTGGCCGGCGGAGACGGAGCGAAGCGGATCCCGGCAAGGCAGAACGGGGAGAGGGCGCGAGTCGAAGCCCCCGGGGAGTGCTAAGGGATGGAGGGCAGCAGGAACCTGGGACTTTGGAGCGGGACCCGGACAAAGCCACTCGCTTCCGGATGGAGGAGTTGAGACTGACCAGCACCACGTTCCCGCTGACAGGCGACTCCGCACACAACCAAGCCATGGTCCACTGGTCTGGCCACAACAGCAGTGTGAGTAGATGGGGACTGAGGGCAAGGGGTAAAAGGTGGAAAGGGTTAAAGCGGGCCGTGTGTTCTGATGGAGAATTGAGGGAAATGAGGTTTCTGGACTTGAGAGAAGCTGCAAACTAAAGTCTTCCCTGCCCACCTTCCCTAGGAGTTAATGTCACCTATGGGGAGACGGGAGACCCATGACACCGTCAGAGTCCTCTCAAAACCCCCCAAAAGCTTCACACTGGGTAGGCAAATCCCTGTTTCCTGGTCTCATTGGTGTAGGAACAGAGCTGAAGACAGGCAAACAGAGGGGGTTAAGTATTCTGGATGTGGAGGTGAATGGGTTAAATTTCCAGGCAGGATGACATTCCTTTAAGTGACTTTCCTTTTACTTGCTAGACTTATGGGTGAGCACAAGTAAGATCAAGAAGACTTTATGTGGAAGCTTTTTATTTTTCTGCAAAGCTTCTAACTCCCTCTTCCCCAGAAGGGAAGAGATATGCAGTGCACACTAAGGTGCCCTTAATGCATTCTCTGTTTCTGAGGACCAAGTGGATGCAAGTTTCAGGATGGGAACTCTCTAGCATCTTCTAACAGCACCAGCCAGTGTGTTTTGAGAGCTGGGGCTTTCCAGCCTGTGAATGAGTGGTTGTTCTCCGGCATGATCAGTCCCAGGAAGATCAGATATATCGCAGTGACAACAACCCCCTGTTCTTCCCCATTGCCTGACCTCCTCTAGAGAAGAGAACAAATAAAGACTTAGCCCTCCTTTTATGAAGGGACCAGGAGGATTGCTGGATTCCAGGATGGTGACACTGGGGAGAGTGGGTGAGAGTCTGTGAGCTTTGGCCACGTCAGGGGCGGTTTTAGATTTTTGGAAAACCCTGCATGTCTGGAATCTGGGGTAGCTATTCCAGCTTAAACTGTACCTGGAAAACTTCATTGAGCTGAAATAGTAAAGAGACAGCTTTGATGGTAATAAGTGAAGATGATTTAAAAGTGTGGAAAGTTCTCTGAGCTGCCATTAAGCAGACGAGAAGAACGTGAAAATCAAGGATGGGTAAAAGGGGGAAAAAAAATCAGTTTTAGCTTCCATCGGGTTATTGAGATCATAGTATTTTTAATATGCATAGTCTATGCAGCCTGGTATCTTTCAAAATGTTTTCAGTTGTGATGTCATTGCCAGAAACCTTCCCAGGGAAGCGCCACTTCAGTGAGTTGTGCTCATTGCCAGCTTTTTAATGAAAGTCGTGAATGTTTTAAAATAATAGTCTGTTATTATGAGTTCTTTGATTATATAGATATAAATTATATTAGGACAAACCATGATAAACAGTATTTTGCATTGATGTCTCTGTCCTGAGAGCATCAGTAAGGTTTTCCCTACAATTCAGCTCTCATGACTGAGGTTGTGGTTTTCTATGGTTCTCAGGAATGGTTTAATCAAATAATTGAAGCTGAAATTCTTTCCGTTCAAGTTCTGGAGACCCTTGCCCTCATTTCTTACCTTAACTATCGTATCTTTTATGTCATAACCACTAAAATTAATCCCCCAATTTGAACTTGAATCTTCTTAAACTGATTGAATAACTTTCACACTGCTTTAAGTGATTAACCCAAAGCTTCGGGCTTTAAGGGAGATTTTAAACACATCAAACATATTATATCTTGTTGTATCAAGAAGTAAAGGATATTGGACTCAAAATATTTCTGGCTTTTAATGTAATTTGAGCTGTAAAATATCACTCACCCATGAGACCTTTACTTTAGTTCATCTCTTGAAAGATCTTGGAAAGAGCTGGAAAAGGAGAGTACATCTTTGGCAAATATTAAACTCCATTTAAGAAATGGCGCCAAGCACTGCCAGCCTTTTTTTTTTTTTTTTTTTTTTTTTTTTTTTTTTTTTAAGATGATGCTTATAAGCACAGTGTGGCTTATTAGGGTCAAGGCTTGGATGGGCAACATGCAAGGATGTCTGAACTAAAGTAGCAGATAATCAAGGTAGTACATGTGAAAGGTTTGAGCACTCAAATCACGTTGCTAGTGAGATTTCTATCCTTTGAAGTTTTTAATTCTGTAAGGAACCCCCCTGCTCTGCACCCCTGTCTACTTACACACAAATTGTGGACTTGTTTGTTTGTTTTTTAGCATATATATACAGATCATAGAGGAAGAGCTATAGTTTTAATCCAGGTTCCACAAAACAAAGCTGGCCCAGATTCATAGGAGAGACAAAGTTTAACAATTGTTTTTAAGGGAAATAAGGCAAAACAAACTTTTCTGGGCAACTCTGTGATGTGAAAAGCAGTGTGGAGACTTGAGTTCTAGTTCTGCTTATCTGTGGCTTGATCTAGGCGAATTGAGTGTGAATTTTCTCATCCCCAAAATGGGGGCCGTGCCAGTTCGTGACGTGCCAGGTTCCACGTAAGCATGTTGTGATTGCCAAGTGTGGTACACCTGTTTGGAACTCTCAACTTACAGCACTTCATGTCTCTCCAGAGCGAGAAATCCACTAATTAAAGCCTGAGAACACTGTGGGGCTCTCATTTTCTTCACATTTAGATGTCAGTCCCCTGTAAATCTGCCCCCTGACCCACTCAGGGCCACAGGCAATGCACATCCTCGGAACCTGCCTCACCTCTAGGTAAAGCCTTGTTCAGTAGGGTTTCTGATTACAATAACGCCTGCGTTAAAGGTGTAACTGTGTGGTAATTATAGGCTGCCTGTCAAACTTGTGAGGAATTCTGGAGGTTTCTCTCGCCTCCTTCCCTTCTTCTTCCTGCCCCCTCCGCTGTTGGACTTGTGCAGTTGTGTAAAGACATGCCTCGTCTGTGGGAGTGATGTGATTCCTCTGTACCGCAGTCTAGCTTGATGGAAAGTGTTGCTAGAGTTGGTGGAACACCTGGGGGGATCTTTTGGCATGAAAGGTGCTGGGTATGAATCATTTGTCATGAGCTTGGTGTCGTAAGCAAGAACATATTGTTCCTACCCTACTCATCCTAGGCATGCTGTGCCCTGATCTAAATTTATCCAGTAATCCTTAGTTTGTTAAAATACATATTTGTCTATATATGCATGTGTGATGGGGCATGTGTTTATTCCTTATTTCCAAGAAACTGCAAAGTGCTACACTTATTAACCCTTATAAAACCCTTGTTAGGTAACAGGTGAATGGCAAATGTTAATATCTATTTTTTCATATTTTTATGCTGGAGTCAATTTGAGCATTTCAGTTCACTGCCTTGTCCTTTTCTCACTGAAAATAGTGTCAGAAGGCTTGTTAACAGAGGCTTTTACTATTTGGCCATTATGATACTCTGATGCTACATCTGCATGGACCATGATGATCTGGTTGATTTCCATGTGCCTCTTTGCCTTTTGCTGTTCTGGGACCTGACATTTACCATCCAATCTTCGTGAATAAACTGAGTCCCAGCTTGGGTCAGGTTTTGTGTACATGCCTTAAGTACCATCATGTCACTTAATTTTCACAAAAATGTATGTGTAGATATCCTTCTCCTCATTACATAGAGAAGAATCCTGAGGCTCTGGAAGCTAACCGAGGTACTGAGATGGTACCAAAGGTCAGTGGCATATAGGCACTGGGACCCCAAGCTCACAGAATGGTTGATCTTAAAGACTTTCAGTTAGAATAAAAGAACTCAGACCTCTTGTAGTCAGTATTTTAAGTAATCCTCTCTTGGGGTTCATATCTGATGATGCTGGAGGAGGACACCGTCTTAGCTGGGAACTCCATCTCCTTATAGAAAAGCAAGGGCTTTAACATGTGCCTGTCACGTTGCACTCTTTACCTTAAGTAGTGATTTGGTTGTTCTCTTATCCGCCTACCTCTTCATCTTTAGTGAGACACGGAATCCGTACCTGGTGATTCATTGAGCACGAGGTAACCTGCCATCATTCAGCTCTCAGATCTGGTGTTCTTCAGGAACAGATTCCTTTTCTTCCTTTTCTAAATGACTTACAAACCTGATCTTAGAGAGAGGCTGCATGCAAACTCTTGCTTTGACTGTACATTTAAACATATTCCTGACCTTTTTAATAAAGTGAAATGATGAACAATTTTAGCTTTCTCTAACAAGCCCACATAGTTCCTTCTCTGATCAGTGCTTTCTGCTATTCACGAATGTTAATGTGGTGTGACACGGAAGCAGACAAATTTGAGTTGAATGTTAACTCTCCTGCTTACCATACTCTGCCTTGAACAAGACACTTAAATTCTTTGAGCTCCACCTTCCTGGACTAAAATATGGGGATACTGTATCTTTTGCAGGCTCTTCCTGAAGATTTGACGTCATGTATGTGGAGTGGTTGGTACACAATAAGTGCTTAATAAATGCTATTTGTTCTTTTAGTTGCAGAAATCATTCTCTACTGGCAGTTAAGAGTCCGGGTTATAGTTCTGACTGTGTACGACAATTAAATATGCAGTCATCACGTGTCCTGTTAAAATTATGTGGCCTCTATTTCATCCTCTGTAAAATGATGCAAATAGACTAGAACACCACAGAAATAGGGGTTAAAATGAGCTCGATAGTTTGTTCAGTGTGCAGGTGTTACACACCTACTACATTTAAGTAAAGTACACTGGGAGAGTTAGGAATGCACAAATGACACAATGATCTATACCCTTGACCTACAAGGAGCAAGAAGCCTTTCATCTCACATGATCCCTCCTTTTTCCATGATTCATGTGCATATTCTATTTATAGGAAATCAAAACATTTGAGATCCAAGCAGGCATTCATTTCAACATGGGTTTGCAGCAAAACCTAATTTATTAAGTTTATTGTATCACATCTTCATGTAAAGGAACTTTGTATCTTTGGACAACAAAAAAAATGCTTCCTATGAAATTGAGACGTTAGCTTCTCTTAAGATATTTAATGGGGTTTTCTAGAGGAAAACGATATGAGTGTTGACTCTGGGAACTCTCTCCACATCCTTTTGTGGAGGACCCTCGAAACTCATAGACTAAGGTACAAAAGCTGATGGACGGA